AGTGATGTGCTAGCAGGTGCTTGTGCTGAGCAAGCAACACAGCCTTAGTCCTGCTTCCTCCCTCCCGGCCCCACATGGCAGGCTCAACAGACAGCAGACAGAGGGCCTTCCACAGGGTCATGCCTCGAAGCCAGGGAGCCTCTGACGAAAGCCTGTGCTCAGTAGGTCATCTCCTCGGAACGGGAAGCTCAGTTTTCAGATGTAACCTGGGTGTCTGATAGCCTGAACGTCATTCCCATTGTCGCCGTGCTCAGGTGTTTGCATGGCACAGAGGTACAGGCTCTTGCAGCCCACAGTCACATCCAAGTGCAGACTTGAACAGATAACACTTTAAGGTCCCAGACTGTGCGGAGGCGGCCCCTCCAAGACCCATATCAGGAAGCTGCACAAAAAGGGAAAGTGTAAAGCAAAACATTCCTCTTTCACATGAGATATTTTTTCCAAACAGCTGAAGGCACAGTGAATGTTGAGGTGTTTTGTTGACAGATGGAGAAACTGAGGCCAGGGAGGTCAAGTCACCTAGTGAGAGACACAGAGAGAGATGCAGTTGGAAGTAGCGAAGTGGCTCTGCCCATGAAAATGAGGGGGTTTCTTCCCTAAAGAATCTAAAAGGAAAAGGAGGAGGCACTACAGAGTTCATATGTAGCTCAAAGAGGAGGAATAGGGAAATTTAAAAGGGGAGGAACCAAAAGGGAAGAAGGGAAAGAAACACACACCCGTGGAAATAGACCCTGCTGGCAGCCAGAACGCAGGAAGGGTTGGAAAGTGAGAGTTGGAAACAACATGCAGTCGGAAACCGAGAGGAAGCCAGGACAAGGATTTAGAAGGGATAATAGAATCATAATGGCGGGAAGTGAGCACAGTCCACTTGGCTGGAGAATTGGCTGCAGTGTTGGCTGGAGAATCGGCGGCAGTGTTGTGGGCAGCCCAATGGGAAATGATGCCATCAAACCACGTTTGAAGGCCTAACAACATCCATGGTGACAGGAGGCCCCGGGGAGGAGGTGGGGAAGAGGGACAGGGAAGCAGGCCCGGCACAGTCGGCCCACTTTCCTGGCCGACTCCAGCGCGCAGCAGGAGGCCAGGTGCCGCAGTGGGACCCAGGCGGGCAGCGTTGGGGGAAAGGGGCAGGGTGTCTGTGCTTGCTGGCAGCCAGGCCCTCGCCCCTTCTCTGATGGACGTGGAGGGTGGGAACCTGGACACACTTTGTGAATGTGGCACCTGCCGTGGTCAGCACCAGGGGCTGGCGGAGACCACCCTCCTGCTGAGCAGTGCTCTCTGTCGCAGCTCCCACTCGGAAACCTGGAGACCCCCACTACTGACGAGTGTGTCCCAAAAGTGCGCCCACACACCGTGTTTTAAAGGTTCTATCTTTTCTATTTCTCCCCTGGCATTCTTCCCACTGAAAAAGGCAAAAGAAGAAAATCATCCCCAAGCACCCTCCTCCCTCACTGTCCGCTTCGTCACTTAGAAAAGTGCGATGAAAGGATGCTTTTCTCCTGTGTCCCTGTGTCCCTGTGTCCCTCCGGCTCTGACCGGCTGGCACTCGAGCTCCTGCATATTCCTTCCCAGGCCCTGCCCTTCACTCCAGGTACCAGCAAAGCCAACGTCTTAGGAAAAGTGGCTAAAAGAGGAGAAATAACAGTTTTCTTTGTAACAAAAATATGTAACCATCTAAAACAGGAAAATGAAATATGCTCATCTTAAAGTAGTATGCAGAGTAAAATCCATTTTGGCTAAAAAAATTCTTGAAATCAATAAGATTTTTCCAAGTTCTTATAGCTGTATTCTCATACTGTGTTTTAAATATGAACACAGTCCACTTAAACTGGCTATTGTTTGTCAAGTAGCAACTGGCCTGAGCTTTCTAAGTGGGCATCCGGTGGCTGTGCAGTTACTGTTGCAAAGGCCTGCAGTGGAGGCGCAAGGGCCGCAGGTCAGCTGTGTGGATGCTGCCTTGGGGATGGGTGGCAATGAGCCAGCTCCAATCAGATCTCCGTTGTCAGCCAAGTACATTGTCTCATCCCCACTTCTTTGGCAAAGCTGTCATTAGTGGGTTTCTGTTTGGCCCAGTGCATGGAATTGGTTACATATGCTCTCTGCTTTGCGAGGCCTGTGGAGAGAAGGCATGAGAAGAGAAAGGAGAGAAGGAGAAGCGGGAGGAGTGTGCCCCGGAGCTGGCAGTGTGGGGCCGGCAGCGTCCGGGTTACTGCTCCGTCCCCTGGCCGTGTCCCCAGGGAGCAGGCTGCCTCCGGAGATGCTCCATGCTGAGGGTCAAGTTGCTGTGTGTACTGTGTCCCAGGGTTGGACCGAGCACTGGAAAAATAGGCCTGATCCAAGTGATCAATTAAACTTTCTGTTGGTGGAGATTGGATTTAGAGTTTTTAAAAAAATACATGAAATCTTTCTATTTCAGTAGTGTTATTTTTAATGAAATGAAACATTTACTGACATAAACTCCGCAGAGCAATCAAATGACCAATTAAACTCAGTGGTGCCATGCTGGACGGTCTCAGTGCCAGAATACAGCACTAGGAGGCGTGGGGGTGGGGAGGGGTGGGGTTGTGACTACCTGTCAGGCCCCAGAGGTTCACCTTCTGCTTGTCTTTCCTCCAGTTCCTAGCAAGGGTGGGACAGGGCGACTTCTGCAGGTCAGGCCATGTGGCTTCTGAAATACTATGAAACCAAGGACTGTACTGACAGACAAAGGAAACACTTTGGAGAATGCCAGTCCAGATATGCCATTACGCTCTCTTCTAACCTTTCCAGGCTGCTGTCACTCCTGCCAGGACTTCCCAGCAAAAACCCTTGGGACTGGATGTGCTTCCAGAATGAGACTTTTTTTTTAAAGCCCATACAGTGCACAGACCATACATTATATAACACCCTACGAGAGTCTAGGCAGCACTCTGTATTCAAACATCCTTCCTTCTGCAGCAATACCTGTGAATACAGAAAAGCACTAAACAGCCTCCTATCAGGCCAGATTTTATGTCCCAATGAAGTCAGTTCAGATCAATTTTGCTGCCAAGTGAGTTAGTTACCAGAACTTTGGGTTTCCAGAGCCAGTTGGGTTTGTGAGTTGTGGGTAAGGAAATGCTGGCCCTGCACCCTGCTGCTCCAGGCTCCTCCCCTTGCTCCAGCTCCCCGCCCCAGCTGAGTTTTCAAGTGACTTTCAGCAGTTGGAGCTAATTATGCTAATTAGCCACTGAGCTGACCAAACATCCAACAAAAGGGGGCATCTGTGAAGTCTGGCAGGATGTGGGGACTAGGTACCCAGACTCACTCACAGAACCTCTCTCACTAAAGTAGGGTCACCCCGAAATGTGAGGGAGTTTATGTTACAATAATTAAAGTGAAGGCCTACTTCAGTACAGTGGAAATAACATGTGGATATTATCACCTCAAGAAATTGGAGTGGCAGAATAAGAAAGCACCCTAAAAGCATTGGACAAGCATGTGACTGACAGGGCTGTGGTTGGCAGCCACAGGAGCCAGGATAAACCAGCTCCAACAGTAACAACAAAACAAAGAGAATTGGCAACAGATCCCAAAGTCTGGGTGTCGCCTCCGCAGGGAGGCAGGGCTGTGCATGGGGCCCGGCTCCTCTGGACAGGCTCAGGGCCCCGCTGAGGGCTGCCAGCCCCTCCAGAATTAAGGGGGCTGCTGCATGCACATGCTCTGTCCTGATGGTTATGCCCCTGAGAGACAGGGAAGAAATCTAAGTTTCTGTATGGCTTAAAATTCAGTTCTTGCTTTTGTCAATTATCAGGGTCAAAAGTTGGGGAGAAGTCCAGATTACAGGCTCAGGGCCAAGGAGCAGCCAAAACATACAAGGGCTTGGCAGGCGATGGCAGAACGTGATACGACACAAAAGGGAAGGAAAACGAGAGAACGGTGCCTGGCGGTGATTGGGAACGGGGTCGGGCATTCGCCTCACCCCAAGTGTGGTATTTCCTGTTCTGTCAAGAAGGCAGGGGGGCTGCTTTCCCCAGAGAGTTAGCGGTCTCTCCGAAGCCTCCTGCGAGCGCTGGGCAGCCTGGTGTTCCCCGAGGCAGCAACCCAGAGGGTCACAGAGGTCTCAAATGATAGATGGCCTGTCCGAGGTAATGGGGAAACACTGGCCCTGGAGACACCCTGTCTCCCCATCAGCGTCACCAAACCCCAGGGTCACTGGGTCAGACAGTGGCCAGCGTGGCATGATGGCAGATCTCGGACAATGGGGCACCAATGCTTGCCCAGGCAGGAGGAAAGCTAATTTGTGAACTTCGTAAATGGAGCTTATAGATGCTATACACAAGAAACAGTGTGTTTTCATTCCATGGGCGCTTTTTTATTTTTGTCTGCTTCATCCATATTTCTTTGTCATCTTGATTGGAGTGTAGTTTCACATACAATAGAATTCAAAAATTTTAAGAATACAGTTAGACAAACATAAGCAGTCACACCATATACAGGTTATAGGGTAAATGCTGTCCGGGGACCAAATACAGCTCCACCCTGTTTTTGTTTTGTACATTTTTAAAGAGTGAAATATACATATATATGCAACCCACAAAGCCTGATTTACTCTCTGGCCTTTTCAGGACTAGTTTGCTGAGCCCTGATGGAGAGCATGTCCATCACCCCTCAGCTCACCCAGGGCCCCTCTGCAGGCACTCCCTGCCCCTCCTCCTGGCAATCACTGATCTGCTTTCTATCACTGCAGGTTTGCCTTTTCTAGAATTTCATAGAAATGAGATCATACGGTATGTTACCTTTTGTGTCTGGCTTCTTTCACTTATAACACTTATGAGGTTCATCATCCGGGTTTTTGTGTGTACTAGCAGTGCGTTCCTTTTTTATTTCTGAGTGCTGTGCTGTCCGGTTAAAGGCAGGGTCCCACCCTGCGTGAGGTGGGGACCTCGGCACGGTTTCACGTGCAGGCTCAACATAGAAAAAGGGGGAGGGGCAGGGCTGGGGGCCGCAGGTGCCCACGCTCACTGCCCCTGTCTTTGCAGGCATGAACAACCGGGAGGTGCTGGAGCAGGTGGAGCGCGGGTACAGGATGCCCTGCCCGCAGGACTGCCCCATCTCTCTGCACGAGCTCATGATCCACTGCTGGAAAAAGGACCCCGAAGAACGGCCCACTTTCGAGTACTTACAGGGCTTCCTGGAAGACTACTTCACGGCCACAGAGCCCCAGTATCAGCCGGGCGAAAACCTGTGAGATAGGGGTCAGCAGAGAGGCCAGTCCCAGAGGCTCCGCCCCTCCCCATTAGCTTTCCATCCGTAGCCAGCTGCTGGGGCAGCCAGAACCGTCCAGGATCAGATTGCATGTGACTCTGAAGCTGACGAACTTCCATGGCCCTCATTAATGACACGTGTCCCCAAATCCGAACCTCCTCTGTGAAGCATACGAGACAGACCTTGTTATTTCTCAGACTTTGGAAAATGCATTGTATCGATGTTACGTAAAAGGCCAAACCTCTGTTCAGTGTAAATAGTTACTCCAGTGCCAACAATCCCAGTGCTTTCCTTTTTTAAAAATGCAAATCCTATGTGATTTTAACTGTCTTCACCTGATTCAACTAAAAAAAAGTATTATTTTCCAAAAGTGGCCTCTTTGTCTAAAACAATAAAATTTTTTTTCATGTTTTAACAAAAACCAATCAGGACAGGTGTTTGTTTTTTTTTCTTTTTTACAAATATGAATACATATAATATATATGTCCCTGTACATACACCATGTGGGTGCTAACGTGGAGACCATGGCCAACCTGGACCACAAGCTTCAGGACCCAGAGTGAGGATTTTACTGCAAAATCAGTAGAAAAGCACTGATGTTATTCTGAAAAACCAGTGGCCTCATTTTTGGCTTTTTCAAAGCATGAATTTTTTTTTTAATTTGGATTGCACTTTTTTGATTCATGACTATACCTACAGATGGCTGTTAGGTTGACTCTTTTCAGCAGCCCCCGAGCTGAATTCATAAAGCCTGTTTCCAATATTTGCTTCGACTTACTGCGATTTGTTCTTGAAACTTAAAAGTGGGCATATTTAAGCCAACCAACGGCCAAACTACTACGAAGGCAACTGGAAGATGGATACCACGCAAACTTCTTGTATAAAAATATGAATGCTGAAATGTTTCAAACTTTTTTTATTTAATAAATCTTGTAACCACATTTAAATGGTCTAAAACCCATAGCATTGTAGTCATGGCAACCTGCTAAACTTTCTCATGCAACTAAAACTTCCAGGAAGGTGAGGGTGGGGGCTGTGCACTTCCCATTGTAAACTGTTTCAATGTCCTGTACTGCTAATGAAATGACTTTCTGTGTGTCCGAGAGTTCTCCAGTGGAATAACTATGCACTACTTGACATTTCATGGGGATGCACACAAAAAAAGTATTACATTTTTAGTTGCTGTTTGTACCAACCTTGAATTACATGTTTAACAACAACAAATCAAAAAAGCCTATTTCTATTGAGTTTTTAATACTGAGTAGCAACTCTGAAGTCTTAATTCCTTTTTTTGTTATGATTTATTTGTGACTTTGCATTTTTAAATTGTTTAACTTTCTTAATTTAGTAATTAAAAAGAGAGCATTTTACATTTGAATTTTTTTTGTTCATTTGTTTAAACATGGAAGGGACTCTGGTGGTGACATATCTGTTCCACGCCAGGTGGTGGGGAGCCACCTGGGGAATGTAACCATTGTGCGGTGATTTCCAAACGACAGGAACATTCGAGACACCTGGAGTGTTTTTTTTCTTTTCTTCCCCAGAAAAGCTAGGCTATTGTCTAGCTAACTCAAAGGAATGTTAAAGTATGACTAGGCATACCTTAACATTTTAATTTATCAGACATTTTCTCTAACTGGAATTTTCTGTGTCTCACATGTAGGGGAAAGAGACAATTACCAGGAGAATGAAGTAATTACCAGGAGAACCGTCCTTGTCGTGGAGTCAGTATATGTATTTCCCAGTGTCCCTCCACCTCTGTAATGAAGTTGCTAAGCAGGGACACAGACTGGCATGCCTGGAGGGGCAGTGGGCAGACAGGCTAGCTGTCCAGGCCCGGCTTTGCATGCGCTCAGCTGTGTTGAACAGCAGCCTGGCTTCTCTCACTTCCCGGTCCTGTCTATAGAAATGAGGGGCTGGATGAGACTTGCTGTAGTTTCCTGCAAGGTCTGAGACCCTGTGCATTAAGGTCACTGGTGTGATGTGGAATCACACAAGGAGGACTGTTTTCTTGCTGGAATAACCTTTGCGTTTAGAAAGGGTTTCCAACATTTTGTTCTAAGTGACACAAAGGGGTTTTCTGGCGAATCAAGTCTGTATGGTATTGTTTTGGTATTAATCCAGTTATTACCACTGGGCAATTTATTAACATGTTCTAGATATTTGTAAAGATAACTTTGTTTTTAGTCTTCCCTTCTCACCAGTTTGGATAATTTGCAAATATTCTCTGAAGGATTTTTGTTTATGTTTTTTGACTCGGTCATTCAAAAAAATCCGAAGGAGTCATAACAACCTGTTCGAAACAGAGATTCTTTAAGAAAAAAACAGTCTCTTCAAACCAAAGTACAGCCTTTAATTCATCAGTTGAGTTCCTTATGGATTCTCTCCGATAAATCAAAACTAAGGACTCGGGTTAACTTGAGGGCACGCTTCCCAAACGCCGCGCTGGAGCTGTTCTGAAACACAGGGCGGGGCCCCAGGATAAAATTATGAGAGCAGCGATAAAGATGGAGAAATCAGAGGCGTTTCAGGCGTTTCCTTGCAAGAAGCTGATGTGCTGTCAGGAGCTAGCCCTGAGGTAGCCCAGCCCAGCAATGACACTCCCTCCCGGGGTCCCCACAGCCCTGGGAAGCCGCCCTTCCTCACAAGTCCTAGAAGTCTGGGGTGAGGAAGTTGCATTCTCTGACCAGGAATTTCTCTCGTTAAGAAAGAAATGTACCTTGAAAGGTACCGTAGTGGTGAGTGGACTTTCTGAAGATCACATAGACCACTGGAGAAGCAACTTGACAAAGCCCAAAACGGTTCCTGCTCAGCCGGCTCCCGGTGGCCCTCGCCCCTCACGCTGTCCTAGGAGTGCTGCTGGGCTGCGAGGCCAGGGAGCCCAGAGCAGCAGGGCCTCCCTGTGTTTGCTAGGGATCAGGGTGTAGACCCAAGCAAGGGGCGTTTGGCTCTGCCTTGGTCATGGCAAAGAAAGGTGGGTGGAGACCCAGGCAGGTCCACAGAAAAGTGAAGGGTGTTCCTCGTCCCTCAGAGACAGCCACACCACTGAAGATTTCCTGGCAGGCGCCAGAGGGGTCCACGTGAGAGACGGGAACCCTCCTGTGGCTGAGTCTTGGCACCAGAGGACTGTTCCAGTAGCACTGGAGCTACAGGATTTTGTCTGAAGTTTCCTACGGGACCTTAAGGGTCTCTGTGGTATTCCCTGGAAGGGTTCCTTCGTGAGTCTTGAGAGAAGGCAAGGTCCCAGCCGTGTGCAGGGGAGAATTCCGCTGAAGCCCGCTGTGTGAGCGGTGTCACCCGTCCTTTTGTCCTGGTTCAGGACCAGAACCTGGCTTCACAGAATAGGCATTTGCTAACGAGCTGTAGTGGATAAAATGGTGTTTGGTCAATGTGTGTTCCTGAAAGTTACTTTAATAGGTCTAAGTGATTTTTGTTGACTTTTTTACCATTATATATTATTGGAGTTCAATTTGACTTCCCAAAATATTTGCTAAAAGGCAGGGAGACAGAGGGGAGGAGGGGAATAGTTTGGTGCGGGAGGGTAGGGGGCGGGGGGGAGGTGGAGGAAGCTCAAGTTTTTATTCTAAAAACGATATTGTGGGGTACAGATTTACTAAAGCAGGTACCAATATTATGTTTGTCTTATTTATTGATCAAAAATAGATTACAACTGCAGAGAAAATAATTAAAAATTAGTACCTTTAATATCTTTAAAATATCAAATGGACCTTCATCATTTATATATGCCTGCATTCCCAGAAGTTGTTTTTTAATACATTTCTAAATTGTACCTCATTCCTTCCAAACATGCAAAATATTCAGAATCCCTTAGGTGGAGAGAGAGGGGGGTATAACCTTTATTCTGAAATTAATTTTGAGGAATGACAATAAGAATAAATGGTTTTCCAGTAGAGACTCTTCCAAGGAGAATGTGATCAGTGACAAACAACAGCTCCCCCAGCATCGAGATCACTACGCTTTTTTCCCAGAATAGTTACTCCTCTTCTAATCACTTATTTAATAACAAAGCTCTTCTTTTCGTGCGTTTTCCCTGCCAGATTGTGAGCTCCTTGAGAACAAACTGCCTAACTTGTTCACTATTCTCCCTGCACCTCGAGCAGTGATGAGCCGATGGTAGACATTGTTGGATGGATGGATGTCTAGAAGGAGGATGCGGTCCGACAGGGTGAATGGTTGACCTGGGAGTGACACACTAAGAACCCGCGGAGCCCACCTGGACTTGCCGTGACCCGCCGAGGCACTAGCCCTGCCAGTTCTCACTGTTCTCCATGTGTGGTCACCAGTCTGAGGAGTCAATACGTGATGGGAAGGCCCAGTCTGGAGCCTGAAGTGAACACCATTAGTGTTTCCCAAACCTTTCCCAGAAATCACCCCAACACCAATGGGAATACACTTGTATCGCTGAGACTTGGGGCCTTCAGGTCTCATTCTAACGTAGTAATTTTATGAACATTGGATGGATCATCTACTCCTAAGATATCCATCTTTGTCTTCACATGAGGTTATTTTCCCAGACCTCCAGGCTGTGCGGCGTTAACCAGCCTGTGGCCTGCGTGTCTTTGCACACCTCTGCATGACCAGGAGGCCTGAGCCCTGCTCGAGAAGCACGGTGAAGATGCTGTTCATGGCATGTTATTGCCAACGTGAAAAGACTATAGTTGGGAAAGGTAACATTATCCCCGTTAATATGGATTCTCGTATCTGATTCCCTTTTTTTAGCCAGCGAACAACGGCACTTTGACTGAGAATGGAACAGAAGACAAGGGGGGCTGATGATGGAAAGAGGAAACCGTCCAGCGTCCACAGGCAGCACAGGTCCAGTCAGGTCAGCCTGCTTGTCCCAGATGGCAGCAAACAGAAGACAGGAGGGAGGTGGTAGACAAGGAGCCAGAAACCAGAGCTGGAATGAGAGGACTCTTTTGCCACCATTCTTCGAGGCAATGGGATGATGGTTGATATGACTGTTGATATGTGTAAGAACATTCATTCATTCTGCAAGCATCCATAGCCTACTAGTTATGGGTTAGACTCTGTACACTAGAAAGTCAAAGAGACCTTAATATTTCTAGTCCAGTGAGGATGGAGACCCGTAAGAGATCATTGCAATGAGCTACCTGCTAGGTGGAAGCTCAAGTGGTAGCAAAAGAATGCCGTTCAGGCCCTAGCCAGTTTAGCTCAGTGGATAGAGCATCAGCCTGTGGATTGAAGAGTTCCAGGTTCGATTTTGGTCAAGGGCACATGCCCGGGTTTCGGGCTTGATCCCCAGTAGGGGGCGTGCAGGAGGCAGCCAATCAATAATTCTCTCTCATCATTGATGTTTCTATCTCTCCCTCTCCCTTTCTTTCTAAAATCAATAAAAAAATATTTTTAAAAAAAGAATGCCATTCACCCCAAGATGGGAAGTTCAGGGGAGGCTCCCTGGAGGAGGTGATGCCTGACCTCAGTCTTAAAGGACAAGCAGCGTATGTATTGCTTAACAGTAGGCCCAGTGTTTTTTGCCTTTGAATGTGTTTCCTTCTACTATCCAACCTCCATTAGGGGCTAGCTCATGCTTTCAATATAGAAGATGCTCAGCAAATGCATTTAAGTGAAGAGAAAACAAAACCACACCATGAAAACTCTGAAAATTGACCCCCACCCCCCTGCCTGCTCTGACACACACAGCATATAGGCACATCATTTATTCTGATTAGTGGGCTGCTAACTGGAGGGTAGATGATACCATAAAAGAACAAAGTGTAATGTTTTAGACAGCTTGTTGGCGCCAATGTCCCAGCTGGAATGTAGTTTGAAATATATTTATAGAGTATGAGAATAAAATAATTGCTTGGGAAGAGACTGGAAATAACTCCTCACCACCTCTGTTAAAAAGGATTACTAGAGGGTTTTCTCTCCTTTATGAAGCTGTTGTCACCCTTTCCCTTCCATTTACTAGGCTATTTTGCTTCAATCATCATGCAACTGATAAACTCATGAAAAAAGGTATATATTAGCAGTTGCAAGGTATTCTAGGTTTTTTTTTTGGACTTCTTTTTTCTCCTTTAGTTAATTATCAAGTGTTTGCTATATAATAATCAATGAGTAGCTAATTGGAAGCAAGAGAGAATGAAATGGGTATAATCAGATAGTGTTTTTAATGAAAAGCGTACATGTAATACTGTGGGGAAATATTACTAAACAGCAAGATATATACATTTATTTTTTTGGTGTG